ATGCAAATGATAAGTTGAAGAAACACTTTATTCACTCGATTTTCTGAGCGCGAGAATGCCCTCGCTGAAATTTATTTGGTCGGCAATCCACTTTTCAGGAGAATTCTTCAAGCATGTTGGTGTTTTCCATACTTTGCTATCACGTTTTCCATAAATAATTTGTTTATTACACATATGTGTGTCTCTAAAAGAAATAAATGCCCAATAAAAATTAAAACACATAACTTTTGCTGTTCGCAAACAGTACGCATAATTTCCAATAGCGACGGCGACAAGACATTGACCAATCATGTTGCGTGTTTCCAGCTGGCGTTGATTTGTACTGTGGGCAAAATGGCGTGAATAGAATTACCATACTATTCTCTTTATAAGATTGCGTGAATAGGGTGCCGTAAATAGAGTGGGGTGGAATGATAGTACGCCATTTGGTAGCACAACCTTTATAAGATTGGGCCCTGGTGTGGACCCAACCCTATCCACCGGTTATCAAGTGGGGTGACCGCCAGCCTGGAAAGAGAAGCGTGAGGGGGACGCGGATGGGTTTATCCTGAGGATGGCGGGGGCGGATGCTATGGGCAGTAGACCTATATCGATAGGCGTTATCACAAGTGTATTCGCGGCCATTGGGGCGACGTAAGAAAAGAAGAAAACAACTGGCTCCAAGAACTTTAAATTATCAGTTAGCATGCATCTTTTCCTTGATCTGTAGAGAATTTACCATTAATTGCTAGAGAAAATTGCATTTAAAATCTTCCATCTATGTTCTCTTTCATCGTTTGCACAATATGTTCTTTTTTTAAGCTAGAAACACTAATTAGAAATAGTTCCCGCATCATCAAGAACAATAGGGAAGGCTTGAAGTGAATACAATAATCTGAACGGTGTTGTAATTTATGTGAAGACACTTCTAAAATTGCCTGTAGAAATATTGAAGGCAAAAGTTCAACTTTTTCACAAGACGGATGTCTATAAACCTATTCAACGTGTGACTGTGTACTACTGAAGCCAACATTCGGAATCGTGAGTGCTTTTCAACCTTATTATCGGCTAAAAACATTTGCATCATCTGCTGATCTTCGTCGCCAGCGTGCTCGCCGTGTGTCTCGCCAGTAATCTGAACTTCGAGAAACAACACCTGCAACACTTCGACCAAGGTCAATTTCCGGCTAGGATCACTCCAACATCATCATATCTTCGATTTTCTGAACGGCTTCCAAGTTATCGGCATAAAACCAAGAACTATGTTTCCCATCGGCGCGGATGAACACCAGGCCAGTCACCAATCAGCAAGCACCCCAACTTCCCCCACCGTCGAGTCGCCGCTGTCCGGCGACGGACCGCTCCCCTCCCCGTCCCACTGGGGCGGGTCCGGCGGCCGTCGCTAACGACGACCTTGAAGTGGTCGATGGGCAGGGCCGTCCCGCCCGCCGCCGACGGTCTCGGCGGAGGGGATGCAGGGCCGGCAGGAAGGTGAAAATCTTCCGGGGGGAATGGAGCGCCGACAGCCATCTGAGCGCTCCAGGCACCGGGGTCTCTCCCCGTCGTGTAGGGTGCCGACAACCAAACCGTGACACCAGCCATGACAGTCCTGGCCAGCCACCGGAGGCCTCTGTTCGGCTCACCATCAGCCAGACCAGGCGGACGGCGATACACCTCACTCAGCCGCCGACCTCAGCGCAACAGCGGCCATCCGGCAATGACGATGCTCCAGCCCGGTCGGCCACCGCTCGTTCGCTGATCATCGGACACGCAAATGTCCGTTCACTGATGCCCAACATGGACAGTGTCCAGCAGACTCTATCTGATCACAAAATTGACGTTTTTTGTTTAACTGAGACCTGGCTATCTGAAAACGTCAAAAAGAAATTTCTGGTATTCCCTGGATATAAAATGGTGCGGTGCGATCGTCCGGGGGCGGGAACTCGTGGAGGCGGCGTTGCCATTCTTTACCGCGAACAATTAAAATGTGATACTCTCTCGATTACCAGTGACAGTGTTTCTAGTGAATCTCTGTGGGTCTCCATCAGCGGGGGCGGGAGACGCTCAATCACTGTGGGTGTCTTCTACCGCCCACCCTCTCAGCCGACCGCAGCAGGTTTGGACAGTCTCCATCTCCAACTACAAGCCGCCATCGCTACTGGTCGGCCTGTGTTCTGTCTTGGTGACTTTAACGTGAACCTCCTGTGTCCCTCTGCTCCAAGCACGCGTCTATATACATCTGTTTTAAGTGATCTTAACCTCTCACAGCTCATCAGTTCCCCTACTCGATTCAATCCACCCTCCACTCTCGATCATATCATCACAAGCCTGCCCATTTCGGAATGCTCGGTAACAATACCTCCGGTGCCCATAGCCGACCATATGACTATCTTGGCCCGCGTTCCACTCCGTCGTCATAAATCACCGCGCCAGTCTTTTCAGATCCGCCCCTGGCGAAAAGTTAACTGGGACGCGCTGTGTCTGCATCTGTTACAGGCCGACTGGCAACCTCTGTATCGGGCGGAGGGGATCGAAAGCAAATTAGAGGAATTCATGAAAGTATGGCTCAGCGCTATTGATATTTACTGTCCAACTAAAACTGTGACGCCGCGCCGTCCACACTGTCCTTGGGTTGAAAATAACCCGGAACTGCGAGAGATCATGGACGAGCGGGACCGTGCTTTTACAATCTGGCGTGCATCTGGTGCAGAGTCTGATCTGTCAACGTACCGCCACCTTCGAAACCGTGTCAAGCGTCTTCTTGCCAAATCCAAGCGGGATTACTTGTGTTCTTCAATGCTATCGGACCGAACAAATTTTTGGAGGAACATTCGAAACTTCGCCATACGCCCAGGGACTGACAGCTCCTCCGAACCTTTAGGGACTGAAAAAGCCGACGAATTCAACCGCGACTTCGCCTCGGTTGGTCCCCGCATTGCCACAGAGCTGAAGGAGCGTCATATTGGCAACGACATGCCTGATATCTCACACAAGCCGCCCCGTGTCATCTCCACAAACCTGATCCTACATCCTGTGACACTTCCTGAGCTTTCCAAATATCTGAATGAACTATCCTCTTCAAAAGCCGTCGGTGTCGACGGTGTACCATTGATTGCTATTAAAAACTGTTTTGCCGTTCTAGGACCACATCTACTTCATGTCATCAATGCGTCGATTGTCAACCGTGTCTTCCCGGCCGCTTGGAAAATGGCATTAGTGGTACCAATCCATAAGTCAGGACCGCGCCATGTCGCGAACAACTTTCGGCCTATTTCCATTCTACCAGTTCTCTCGAAACTGTGTGAAAAAGCAGTGTGTGCACAGCTCTCCGCGTATTTTGTCAAATGTGATTTGTTTTCTCCCTCACAATACGCTTACAGGCCGTGCCACTCGACCGAGGACGCCGTCCTTGATGTGACTGAGTGGACTTCGCGACGAGTCGATGATGGACATGTGGTAGCAATCACGTCATTGGATTTAAGCAAGGCTTTCGACAGTGTTGATCACAGTGTGCTCCTGATGAAACTCCAGTGGTACGGTGTTGACCCGACCTGGTTCAAAAGTTATCTTGTAGGGCGACGACAGATGGTGAGGGGCGGCTCTCTTTTCCTTCCTCTATCCCATGGGGTCCCACAAGGATCCCTCATTGGTCCGATTCTCTTTAGCATCTTTACAAACGACCTTCCATCCTATCTCCCCCACGGTCGTTTGGTATCTTACGCCGATGACACCCAGCTGCTTGACTCAGCACATCCAGACGACCTATCATCTCTTAAATCACGCCAGGAGAACTCTCTCCTAGCCGTTCAGTCTTACTTTACTGCAAATTCACTAAAAATGAACCCCTCAAAGACCACTCTCTTGCTAATAGGTACCCCCAATTCTCTCAAGAAGATAACATCCTTTCATCTGAACTTTCATGACTTCATTCTAAAGCCCTCCTCGTCCGTTAAAATCCTTGGAGTTACCATCGATAGCAATCTAACATGGGAAGCTCATATATCCACCGTTGTTAAAAAGTGCAACTCCTTTCTTTTTTGTCTACACAAAATCCGCCATCATTTAAATGCTGATGCACGTCAACTACTTATCCAGGCACATGTGTTCCCCTTAATCCTTTACTGTCTTTCCGTCTGGGGAGGAGCCACCGCAAACCGTCTGGGCCGCGTGCAGAAAGCTCTTAATTTCGCTGCGAGGATCGTCACGGGAGCGCGGCGTAGCGACCATATATCTCCGATTCTAACAGCATTAGGCTGGCGCACTGTCTCAGAGTTAGTTAACCGTCGCGACTGTATGGCCATACACCGGGCCTTGAATGACTTCCGCGCTCCTACTGCCACCCGCGCACTGTTTTCGTACCGGGCTGATGTCAGTGCGCGAACGACGCGCGCCAGCAGTACGGGGGTACTTGAGTTACCTGGTTTTCGCCTCAGTATGTCGCGGCGAAGTTTCTCCTACAGAGCGGCCGCAACTTGGAACCGCCTGCCGCAACAACTTAGGTCTTCTCGCACCCGTGCCCGTCTCATGGCTATGCTCGATGAACATGCACTGCCCTGAAATTTGTATCGTCTAGTCGTCAATTTCGTCTTTGTCTCTGGTCACTCGTTCTCTGTTCTTTCTGTTGCACATGTACTTACTGATGTTACTGAACCTAACACGGATCGCACAATAAGCCACACACGTGGAATGATTCGTTAAATATATGAATATGAATATGAATATGACAACTCAGCCGGTATTTCGTCGCCTACAGCCCAGCTTTCCCTAGTGACCGATAGAGGCGCTGCTATCGATGTCCCCCCGTGCCGCCTAACGTTGGGTAATGCGGCCCCGTCAAAACATTCTTAGCAGTTGAATTGATACAAATGCCTGCATCCTGCGGAGTTGAAAGATTGAAATGTGAAACTGTGACTTCTTGAATGCCCATTGCCCATTGCCCTCGACTCTCTAGTCTTTAGAGTCTGGTTTATCGGGGATATCTTAATACATTGGGATGTGAATAGTCGTCTCTGTGATTCCAGGCTAATCCGTAGACTGCCACGATGGATATTTTGCGTCTGACGAACGAGCCCCTCTCACTGGAGTCAATCAGCAAGGAGGTGGGCAGTGACGACTGTGGCGCCATCTCCTCGTTCTGCGGCACAACTCGTAATTCGTTCGAGGACCGCCAGGTGGTGCGGCTCGAGTATGAGGCCTACGAGGAGATGGCTGTTAGTGAGATGAAGAAAATTTGCGGCGCTTTGAGGGAAAAGTGGAGTCTGAAACATATCGCCATTTATCACAGGTGAGGATGTTGCTTCGTGGGGATAAAATCACAATCCTTTGTGCCTGCTCGGGATGTTGTATGCGTTTTCGAAAATCATTTGTAAGAAATGCTCTGGTAAAAGAAGAGTAAATATGAGAGTTATAGACTTTCACGTTAAAATTGTATTTATTATTTCATCAGTCACTTTAAAATCCACCAACTCTCGCCCAGGATTTGGAGAGAACCCAGTTCGCTGTTATTTATTTTTAGACAACGTATGGTGCAAGCGTTAATTTCGCTGGTATTTATTATCTCCTAGATGCAAGGTGTTTTAAGTAAGTAGTTCTCACCGCTACCTGACGTGACCTCACCCCCGCCGTCCGCCAGGCTCGGTGTGGTGCCGGTCGGTGAGTCTTCCATCATCATCGCCATCAGCTCGTGCCACCGACGCGACTCGCTGGAGGCCGTGGCGCACGCCATCGACGCCTTGAAGGCGCGCGTGCCCATCTGGAAACGTGAGGTGTACGCCGAGGGGGGCGGCGCAGAGTGGAAACAGAACGCTGAGTGCCACTGGCGACAAAAAGCTAAGGGCAGCTGAGGTTGGGGTGGAGAGTTCGACACTAACGCTGAAAGGCACGGCGGGTGATGGCACAGTAAAATATTGAAAGGAAACACTAGGGTGGGGAACGGCGACTGAAATTGATGGATGGTAATGTCAATCAGGGTTTGTGTTCATGGACGATGAATATGTATTTTAAGCATTTGAAAGGTTATAAATAAGACCTTCAAAATGTGTCACCATTTGAAAGTTCCAGCTGGACATGAAAACTTGTGAAGTGTCATTAGATGATCCTGGTAAACGATGAAGTCGATGATGCCGATTTTCACCAAACACAGTCAGTAGATCTAACTGATATCGTTTTGTGTAAGCAACATGTGAGCGTCTTTTGAATGCGCCCTATGTTATGAGGCAAGCTATGGCGGCGATTCTTCAGTTATTCTGTTTTGTGACTTTGCTCTTGTTTGGTGCATGCTGTCATGGTGCATCACTAGTACTTTCTAACGAAACTCACAGAATGAATAGAAGCATGAATAATTCAATTCGAGAAGTGCAATTTCTTCCGAATTTTAATGAGTTTGTTGAAGGTGTATGTGTGACCATGTGTGTACCGGATTGTATCGTCTTTAATTGAATTGTATAATATACCTTTATTGTACATGCACACGCACCAGCGAAAAGCTGATAGACCGGAGATGTCTGACGTACGGTATTGTTAGTACGGTGTGGTAAAATACGGAATTATGTTCACCTTCGGTGTAACTGTGTTTCTTATAGAATACACGCACACACGTGATTCGAAGTTGTTTAGCCATTTCGCCGGAGTGGCATAGCATCCGTAGCGCCCTAAGTCCTAGATAAACAAACAAACGGCGGGATGACTCCAAACGGCGCCTAGCGAACAGAACAGCCCAAAGAAGACGAGTCGACATTGCCCGTGATAGGGTGCCAGTCAGCAGCCACGGGTCTGGTGATTGCCGGGTGTGCAAGAGCCCGTCATTACCTTCAATTCATCGGACTCTCCGGACTCTCACCGGACAGTTCTCTGTGACTATCGCCGGCCAGCTCTCCGACCGACCTTCCGCCGCCACTGCCGCACCCGGCGACCCCCTGACCGCCGTATCTTCGTGTTCACCGCTGCGGTGAGCCGGAACACGGTCTGGAGGCGCCGTTCGAACCCCATTCACCGGCGTTTGACCGCGCCCGGCTCCGCCTCGTGTCGGTATCTCCGGAACTGAGAACAATTTACGGCTGCGGCCTCCCGGAAAGTGGCCACTTCCAATTGACCTGCTCTTGACCAATGTGTGATTAATGGGTCTGGATCGGCCGGCGGCAACCAATGCGCATTTATCTGCTGGTACAGAGAAGGAACGGTCGCAGCTAAACGTCCATAGCGACTGAAATGTTTGTTTTTTGAGCATAAATATCATTTCAGGAAGGTCTTATAAGTAGCTAAACTGGTGCCATCCAAGCCAAGGTGGCTGAAAATCGACCCTGTTTCTGTCGAATGATTGTCCTATTTTTCGGCTCAAATTATTTTTCTTTGACCTCCCACTCACTCAGCGTACGCTCTAGACCACCTATTCACCTGTGGCGGTGACAAATTGAAATTATCTCAGCGACCCGGTGATGCACCCAGCAAAGCCCTCATAAGGGTCCGCCGATTGCCCCCGCCTATTTCGGCGACCTTGCCAACCACGCTCAACCTTCGACACCACACCATTCTGCCTCTGCCAGTGTCGACCAGCTGGGAGTTCGCTCGCCTCTCACCAGGCGAGTTCCGGACATAAATTCCTCCACATTCCGTGCCGTGTGCCATCTGCTAGCATCTGGCAGTGGTCTGGCCATGTGGCGCTGCGGCCACCGGCCCTCAGCACCGTGGTTTGCCATGCGCCAATGAAGACAATTTATTGCGGGGAGCTGGTGAAATATTTCGCATGACCTTGCAGGGTCAGGGGGTGCGTTGCCCTCGGTCAGATAGCTGAAGGTCTGGCATGGCATCCGGCATGTTCTCAACTTGGTGTTTGGAGTTTGCATTAATGATTCAGGTGGTGGCTGCATCATTCCCCGCACTTTGTATATTCTCTGCAAGGCGAAGAAGCGGTGTACATAATAACTTACAAACTGACCAGATTAGCTCAGTCTTCTGCCTTTGAGCAGATCCGACCGTTGCACAGCAGCGGCTGAGTTTATTCCGTGGGGATGGGAGTGCCCTGGTCCGACAGACCACCCAACCGCTCAAATGATCACCCCGAATGGGTGTGTTCCTGTAAATAGAAGCAGCCCTCGCCCCGCTTGTATGGGTGGGATGACCGCCAGTCCGGAGGGGGTAGATGAATTATCAATAGTGAGGATCGGCTAGCCCTCAGTAGGTATGAAAAGAGGATCGCGCCACTCGACTCGACTGCTTTTAGCGTTCAGAATCCACTTTATTTCTTTTATGTCAGGCAGCCCTTAGACGCTGTTTAATTCACTCAGCCTGCCTTTCCGATACCGATGTGTCTCCGTCGTCTGTTGACGTGCGCCCTTGGAGATCAAATCAGCCGCCTCGGACGTTTACAGCGGTGGCCAATGTTGTCACGGATAAACGTGATGTGACACGCTTGTTTATGGCCAGATGGTCGCTCGCGATCCAGTTGTGTTCGCCTGTATGGCAGCCCGGCCCAGCACGGACACGAGCGCGGAGCTGTAAAGGGACCCGATCCTGCAGCCTGTCCGTCGTTAACTTTAGGACGCTCAGGACGGCAGCTGAGGCACGGTGTTTGGTTAATTCGCACGCGCGAGGCGCCCAGTTTGTGTTATTTTATCGAGACGCTTATGTTGCCCAGTTTATATAGTTAGTTCACTGGAGCATCTTTGAACATCCGACATCAGTATGCAATAAGCAATGTGCATGAGATCTGGGTAGAAAAAGCCGACGATTGCCGCTTTGGCTTGTCTGACTTCATAGGTGGTCTCTGCGAGTGGCCATCGACGCTAAATTCTGCGCTATTTCCAGAGCTAATTTTCCAAATTAATTAAATGCTAGAACCAACGATACATTCACGGCTCAATATCTTCCGACTGGACTGTGAGCACTGAGCAGCTTTCCCCAATCACGCCGCATTAGCCACCTTAACCCGCGCCCCACTGGGGGGGGGGCTATTCATAGCCCCCCCTCCCGTTTTTCTGCAATAACTTCCAAACCACTTGACATATCGACGCCAAACTTTCAGTACCTTCGGCTGCATCAATTTGACACCTTGTGTCAAAATTTGAACTTCGTAGCTACCATAGGTCGGCCGGAAATGACGTCAGAGTGACGTCATGTTCGGCCGATTTCGACACAAAACATTGAACCACGGCAATCGCTCCCAAGAGCTCAGTTTTTGAGCTAGATCCAATTTCTTTGCATGAAAGCACTCAGAATTGACTGCGCTATCAAACTGCTATCTCGGATTTTCAAAATTTTGAAAATTTTGATTTAAAAAAGTAATAGGTATTCAAAATTTATGTTTTTATATTTTTTTCAAAATGTTTTTGACTTTTCGAAAAAAAACGGAATATATGTGACAGAACGCATGCTTACCTATGACTCTCGCTAGCAAGTTTTAGCTAAATATCTTCAAAAATGGCCAAGTTATGCGCATTATTGCAAAAAATCACAATTATTAATTTTTAAAATCAATTTTTCAGTACGAATTTGACATCGTACACCAATATAAATAGCACCATCGTGTTCCTGAGCTCAAACTGCATCCAATAGACACCTTTTTTGTTGAATTTTAACTTCAAAATTTGACCTTTTTTGACCTGAAAGTGACCTGACCTAAGCTAAATTCGACTCAAAATGACCTCAAATGACACAAACGACATCAAATTCGAAATCTATGGCCTAAATGGACCGTAAAACATGTGTCACGTGACCGACGCGTGATATACTATTTCCGTGACATGTGATGACCTGACCCTGACCTGAAAATCAAAGTACAAGTTTGGTACCCTCAAGGTATCTAGAGCATCTGTTCACGAGTGTGTAAACCAAAAATGAGCCCGGTCTGCCCGATTCAAAATTTATATTTTTTCCAAAATGTTTTTGACTTTTCGAAAAAACCGGAATATATGTGACCGAACGCATGCTTATGACTCTCGCTAGCAAGTTTTAGCTAAATATCTTCAAAAATGGCCAAGTTATACGCATTATTGCAAAAAATCACAATTATTAATTTTTCAAATCAATTTTTTCAGTACGAATTTGACATCGTACACCAATATAAATAGCACCATCGTGTTCCTGAGCTCAAACTGCATCCAATAGACACATTTTTTGTTGAAAAATTTAAACTTCAAAATTTGACCTTTTTTGACCTGAAAGTGACCTGACCTAAGCTAAATTCGACTCAAAATGACCTCGAATGACACAAACGACATCAAATTCGAAATCTATGGCCTAAATGGACCATAAAACATGTGTCACGTGACCGACGCATGATATAATATTTCCGTGACCTGTGATGACCTGACCCTGACCTGAAAATCAAAGTACAAGTTTGGTACCCTCAAGGTATCTAGAGCATCTCTTCACGAGTGTGTAAACCAAAAATGAGCCCGATCTGACTTGTAAGACGGCGGCCAGAGCCCAAAATGTGAACAAGCCGAAATGCTAATAATTTTTACTTTGACCTGACCTGTGACGTCATCGGTGACCTCGAGGTCAATGAAATTAGGTTTCGCTCGACAGTTTTTCCGGGGCTATCAGACGCCGTTTGAATTTTGACGATCGGCCTAGTAGTTTCGGAGTTAGGAGGGGGGCTATGGAGAGCCCCCCCCCCCCCCCAGTAGGGCGTGTTATACGCAGACCCCAGTGGGGCGCGGGTTAACGTCACAAAAGGAACATGAGGTGGTGCTTTGGCACCGGTAGTACCCCTATTACCGGTGAACAGAGAGCCTATGCGACGGTAACTCAATATACCCACCCGTCCGTCACAAGCACATCAGTTCTTGGAAGGACCGCACGCGCAGCCTGAGTCTCCCTGGGGATGTCTTCCTGGAAAAAGAAAACGTTGTTATGGTTCGTGTTCCTCATAAGTGGTAGGGCTAATAGGTATCATGAGGATGCCGTCGGTAATTTGCTCATTCGACCACGTTCATTGACTGGCGATAGACACCAGAACACGATCCTTACCAAGTCCTCCTTTTAGCAATGCAGAACTCGCGTGGCCCATCACCTCCATGAAAACCTCGAGTCGTTTCGCTCCTGTTGCGCTCGTGTCATTGTAATTCTGACGGACTGACGCACGATCTGCCACAGAGCCGATTGTTGCCATGAATTCCCGGCCGTTGTGATCGGAGCCGTATGACACAGGCTCACTTTACGACATTGGCTTCCATAACGTGTCGCCGGCGAAATGGGAGAGATCGGGAAAAGTCGACAGCTTCAGCCGGGTCCGCGGTTCGAAAGCCGGCCCGCTCGTGGCCAAGTTGACACGTCGGTCGTCGCACTGGTGTACAGAGGAGCCGAGGGAGCGCTCGACGAAATCGACACTGCCAGCCGGGTCGTCGGCGGCGACGAAGCCCCCTGACGGGTCCCCCCCCCCCCACGGGTCACGGGAGCGAGGCGACGTAGGACGATCCGCCAAAGACGGCCGTGTGGGCAGGATAAAGTCCTGTGCATTGATGCAAGGCTTCCGATGACGCAAGATGCGCTCAGCTTTTCATGGAAGCGTATCTGTTGTAAGGCGTCTAGCTATACGTGTTGAATTAGATTTGGAGCCGTGTGCGGTTGATGACGTTAGATGCATCATGGGCTGATGAAAGCAGCCA